CTGGGCGGCTTCCTCGGGCTCTTGCTCCGCTTGGCGGAAAATCTGTTGCGGCCCAGCCTCACCCAGACTCTGCCTCTAGCGGCCCCCAGGTAAATTGAGTTTAAAACCCCTGTTTTACATCCTCCTCAATTCCCTGGATCTAGCACGATTCTAGGACAGGAGACAGTGGCACTCACAGAATGAAAATTGTGGAAAACAATCTAAGACAATTTTACACAGTGGCCTTATTTTCCTGTGGGAACGCAATTCAAAATTGTGTTCATTTTTCCCAGATGATGTGTCTCTGAACACACACTTGCAAAGCAAGGAAATTGCATTCTTGGTAAAATTCAGGGTGCAGTCATACATGCCAAAAGAAGAAGCACTCATCAAATTTGCTGATGACTCAAAGCTGGGGGGAATTGCTAATACTTTGGAAGATAGACTCAACATTCAGAAGAATCTAGACAGACTTGAACACTGGGCCCTATCCAATAAGATGCAGTTCAGTAGCAGGAAAATAAGGTCCTGCACTTAGATAGGAGAAACCAGATGCACAGGTACAGGATAGGTGATACCTGGCTCAACAGTACTACCTTTGAGAGGGATTTAGGTGTCCCGGTGGACCACTGCCTAAGGATGAGTCAGCAGTGTGCTGCAGCTGCCAAGAAATCCAACAGAGTTGTAGGCTGCATCAGCAGGGGGATAGCATCAAGACCACATGAAGTGATAGTACCACTCAGTTCTGGTCACAGCAGTACAAAAAAGATGCTGAGGCAGAGAAGAGCAACAAAGATGATAAAGGAACTGGAAGTTAAATCCTATCAGGAATGACTAAAAGAACTAGGTCTGTTTAGCTTAACGAAGAGAAGACTGAGGGGAGACATGATAGCAGTCTTCCAATATTTAAAGGATTACCACAGGGAAGCTCCTTCATGGATTGCTGCCTTGTCGTGGCGAAGGGGCTTGAGTAACTCAGAGAAGCTATGGGCTATGCCGTGCAGGGACACCCAAGACGGACAGGACATAGTGGAGAGTTCTGACTAAACGCAATCCACCTGGAGTAGGAAATGGCAAGCCACTCCAGTATCTTTGCCAAGAACGCCCCATGATCAGAAACAAAAGGCTAAAATATATGACACTGGAAGATGGGCCCCTCAGGTCGGAAGGCGTCCAACATGCTACTGGGGAAGAGTGGAGGACAAGTACAAGTAGCTCCAGAGCTAATGAAGTGGTTGGGCCAAAGCCGAAAGGACGCTCAGCTGTGGACGTGCCTGGAAGTGAAAGGAAAGTCCAATGCTGTAAAGAAAATACTGCATAGGAACCTGGAATGTAAGATCTATGAACCTTGGGAAGCTGGAGGTGGTCAAACAGGAGATGGCAAGAATAAACATCGACATCCTGGGCATCAGTGAACTAAAATGGACAGGAATGGGCGAATTCAGCTCAGATGATTATCATATCTACTACTGTGGGCAAGAATCCCGTAGAAGAAATGGAGTAGCCCTCATAGTCAACAAAAGAGTGGGAAAAGCTGTAATGGGATACAATCTCAAAAATGATAGAATGATGTCAATACGAATCCAAGGCAGACCAATCAACATCACAATAATCCAAGTTTATGCACCAACCACCACTGCT